TCACCTGCTCCATTTCCAACCTGGGCTGGATTACACCATCCTTAGGCAACTTGATACTCCCCTACTCTAGGGAGCTCATAAAAGTATTGATGCTGAACTTAAGAGTAACCCACTTGATTTTTCTTTATTCTGCTTCCTTGGGTGTCTTGACTACTTGACTGTTCCCAGGCCCTTCAGCCTAGGTTCCCTTTCGATTATCTCTTCCAATCATTTTTCATTTGTTATTTCCTATCTTCTTCCTCCTCCCTTTAACCTCTTCCCCCTCATCCTCAGTCAATAAACATTTTAGCATCTACTATGTGCCAGGCACTGTGCTAAGCACTGGGGATACAAATGAGATAAAGAAAAGATAATCTAATGAGAAGATAACACAAAAGAAGCTGAAAGGGGGCAGGGGAACCACCAGAGAGTACCAAATTGAAACAAAGTATAGCATCTGATGGGAAATGAAATTATTTAGTTCTGATTTGTAAATATCTTCCTCCAGTAATTAAATGACATTTTCACTAATTCACCACCACCATTTCTGTAGTCTGGATTTTCTCCACCCCCATGCCATTCTTTTTTTTCTCCTAACTTACCATTCCTTAACTCAAACATCTCACATTTCTCTTCGCACTTTTTTCCCCTTTCCCACCATCCAATCATTCCCAATTTCCTTCACAAAATCAGCTTGCCACATTTTAGTCTTCAGATGTCACTGTAGTTTATTTTGAGAATTAAGATTTAGTTTGGCAAAGTATCAGCCACAGAGGCAGGTCATGTACAAATTGCTGGGGCCAGACAACAGATCATTTCAAATGAGACACTCTCAAATTTACTAGCACTCACTGGTTACTGAGCAATACTCAGAAAGAACAGAGTGGGAGAAGGGCAATTTCCTTAAATTTTCTTAGGAAAAAAACCCCTGAGACTGATTTTAACAAGACACAAAGTCATCAACACATAGGACTTAGAGAAACTGTGGAACATGATTTGTAAATTTTTTAGGTGGTCAAGTATCTCTACAAAGTAAGTTAAAGTATAAGAAACACTAATGGCTAATTATAGCATTGAAACCTCATGATGGATGTGTCACCAATAGAGGTAACTGAATATCCAGAGTTTCTGAAATTAGCATATCATGACCTCCATTGCCACACTCTCATATCTTCATTTATTTATCTTTTCCACTAGGCAAGATGAATAAGTTGGTCTACAAGGGTTAGCAGACTCTTTTTGTGGACTATATTTTTAGCCGACTATATAAACACTCTTCTGAAAAGTTGAAGAAAGAACATGACTGCAAAGGAAACAGGAAAACTAGAGAGGAAGGCTAAAAAAGATAAAATGCTGATGTACAGATGTTTGTGTATGGACTAAGTCTTCTGAGGATATAGCTGGTAACTAAAGAAGGCTACCCAATGGATACAAGAAATATCATTTCCTATAACAGCAGACTAGGAGAGAGGCTCTCAAGAGACTTGGAAACTGAAGCCTTCTACTCTTCCTTGTTGTCAATGGTAGATAACAACTAGACAAAATAAGCTGCCTCATCCTTTCCATCCTTCATTCAGGACTGGCTGGAAAGACTACATGATGCTGGTATAGAGTAGTCGTCAACTTTTTTTATATGATTTAATTGGTCCTCCTAATGATTGATGGAGCTACAGCCAGGTGGACTTCATTCCTGCCCTCTCTACCAACTCCCTTAATATCAAGACATATGTTGAGCATTTCTCTTCTGACGGAAAATTTACCGTGTGCAAAACATACAAACCACACACAGAACTTTAATGGAAAACACTACTAAATGAACACCCATTTCTGCTTTGCCAAGTTACACAGATGACGTTTACAGTACAAATACTTTGGGAAACCCTTTCTAAGCACACAATATAGAATGAGTTGTTTTAATGTAATTCATCACCTTTTTCTTCTAACAAGACATGAAGCCAACTTGGCTTGCATTTCTAATTTTCATCCCAAATGGAAAACTACTTATAAATCTCATTTTCCCACACATGATTAATTCACCACCCAACTTCTAAAAAGCTTTCCTGTCAACTGTTTTAATATTCATAAACCTTCACCAGTGGCAAATTAGAAATGCATATACCTGCCAGGTTTGACCAGTTTTTTTTTTCTTTTTTCTAAAAGAAAAACCTTCACACACTATCACCCCCTAAAACCAAAACATACTTTTTTTTTGAAAGCACAAAATTCAATTCTTCCCATTCCCTCAGTGAAATTATTTACAAATAATCAAAACTGGATAAACCCATAGACATAAGTAACTTTTAACATTAATATAAGTCCAATATGATACATACATATGGAGCTAATTTATCACAGCATTGAAAAGGAACAGCTAATTTATAGTAACTATTGATTCTAGGTGAAGTAGGGCAATACGTTTAATTCCATACTAAAGTAATTAATTTAAAAATTAGGCTGTTTAAAACATCAAATCTTAAAATGTATCCTACCTTCCATAGGCTTACAATGCTATAATAAAGCTAAATTAAAAATCAAAAGATGAAGTACTATTTCAGAGCTATAAACATTGATACCAGCTTCATATAAAAGTGTACTATGCTTGCAAAGTCTGCAAAAATATTGTCCTTCATTCACCTAATGAATTTTCTCCCAGAATTAACATTAAAAATACTGAAATAATTCATTTTTTCCTTGAAGTACCTATTTTCCCCATCCCACTAGAAAGTTTTGTCCCTCCATAAACACACAATGCCCTAATAGCGGTAAGGCACAGATTTGCTAAGCTAAATAAATAGGAAGACCCAAAATTTGTTATCAGATATACATTAAAGTAATTTTTCAGACTGCAGGTCTGTCTCAAAACTCAAAACAAATGGGCTTACCTAATACCCAACACCAAACACCCAAAACGTGTTTACTTCCTAACTCTTTTACTAGTTTTTCATTGCATCCTCCTCATTTCAACTTTACTTGAAATTCCCTGTATTAATTAATCTTATGGGCAATACAAGAATAGTGGGCCCCAGGAAGGAAAGGAAGGGAAGAAGGAAGGAAGCTGATGGGGTCCTCCTCTTCTCCAGCTTTTTCCAATTAGCACTTATTTATCCTATGGTGTAGTTACTAGCTTGGAAGAAACAGGAAGGCTCTAAGAGAAAATTAACTCTGCTGTGAGATTATGTGTGTCTTCAACCCTCCTTGATACTCACTGTTAAGGAAGGTGTTTTTTCCTTATATCACCTCCCATATCCCCACTCTCTACCCTACACACAAAGGTCTTCCTCTTTATGGTGGATCTTCCTTTCTCTAAAGCTTCCTTTTGCCACTGTTCCATTTCTTCATCCCTATCCCTCATTTTTTTCAAATACAGAAAGATATGTCGACATTCTGGAACAATTTGAATCAAAGGGGGTGCATGTGCATGCGGGTAAACATGTAGACATTTTGGAACAATATTAATCAAAGAGAGAGAGAGAGAGAGTGTCTCCACATCATTTTGTTACCACAACTTACAGTCATTCATTCAAGAAATGTACAATTTTTAAAATAAAAGAAACATTCATGGCACAATCATACACACAGAAAGACCACAGATATGGTGATGACCCACTATGTTCTAAAACTGGACACATATACGGAAATGGCTCTATCAAAGCCATGTTTCCCCAAAGGCTTTATCTCTCTGGCTTTATGTTCTCTTACATTTGTAGTTGACTTCTAGGTGAAAGAGGAAGAAATATTTTCAGGAGATAAAAATATCAAGTTAAATCTGGCAATTACAAAGTTTAGATTTGAAGTTTTACTTTTCTCTTTAATTTCTAAAGAGAATCTGGTGAAAACACATTTAATTTGGGGATTTTCAGGGCAGGTTTGATTTTCTTCTCCCTGTAGTTTATTTAACAAATCCCCATCCATCCCTATTAGAAATTTGACTTAGAGCTAGAAAGACCAGAAAGATCCAATAGTCTAGTCCAGCCTTCTCACATTGCTCCAAATTTTGGAAGCAATAAATGGATAAAGGAGAGAAAAATATTAAAGAATGAGATAATACATAAGGACAGCAAGAGAGGTAGGGGGAAATGATGGAAAGGGAAGGGTAGCAGAGAGAGGACAGAAAATTAAGGGAGAAGATACACAATGGGGAAAGGGACAGATGTGTCAGTGGTACTGAAATTCAGGTCATGTTGAGATTCACGGCACTTGACATAGTGTTCCACAGTGACTGTTTGGAATAAACAAACAGAGCAGTTGTCATTAATACCTTAAAATTTCGTAAAAAAAAACCCCAAAACACCAAATATCTTGTAACAATTTCTCTTAAAATAAAAGAATGAAAAGATAATGGCTGGGTATGCCAAAATGAGACTGTACCAACTTCTTCCTCTTGCCCCAAATCAGGCATGAATGTGTTTTTGAAATAATTTCATCACTTCCATAATATAAGGAAATTATATTTTGTGCTTCCATATATTTTAAGCTCCTTTAATGTGATGCTTATTGAAAGGGAAGGGAGGGAAAGGAAAATAGGTTTCCTTATTAAAGTAAAAATACTATCTCAAATCATGTAACAAGTCTTAAAACCATTTTTCATACTAGGAAACAATGCATACTAGCTTTTGGAGATGAATAGAAACCTTTTAAAATAATTAATATGCTACATAAGCACTTCCAAAAGAAATCAGCTGTGCAAGTCTCATTCAACTGTGCCAAACAAATTATAGAAATAATATATTTAATTGCTAGCCAGTATCTTAATTTTTGTACCCACACAGACACCTCACAAAGTCCTAACTATCAAAATCAAACAGCAAATTATATTTTGAAGGTTTATTCTACTAGATAGGAAAAATCTTCTACTACAGATAAAAAATAAATCTAATTCAGTTTCTCCACCTCTTTCAAGTATCCATCCTCCCAATTTCCATAAAATGGGGACATTTATAGTTAAGACAAACACTTCTTTTCCCTAAAACATATTTGCCAATACTCTAAAGGAATAAAAAAAATTAACAAAAATTAGCAGCTTTGACCATTTCAAAATAATTTATTTTAAATTATCTTAGGAGAAGATGAGAAAAACATTATTTTAAGGCTCATAATTAAGTATGCAATACTGGGAGAAAAGCACAATTCCAACCTGAAACACAAATAGCAAATACACAATTCACTGTCATATCAATGAAGGTATATGTGACTACCAATTAATGCCTGTTTACTGCTCAATGCGCTTGGTGGTCATGGAGAAGTGCAAAAGAGAAATTTTTTACCAAGGTCAAGGGAGGGACCTTGTCCTTGCTGAATTGGATTTTCAAACCTAAAGTCATATGCCACATGTGGTCAGGATAGGCTGACAGTGACATTTGTCCTCCTAACACATTTCTTAGTACAGAGGACCACACTAGCAAATATGTGACTCACCAACTCTGCTGGTACAAATCAAATGTTTGCTGGTATATACTTACTGGTGAATACCAGCTAAAAAATGTGCTGGTTAAGACTATGCCTCACATATCTTTGTGTCCCTCTCAACACTCAACAGTGGTTTGCACAAAGTAGACCCTTAATAAAAAGTGGCTGAATTAAAATAAATGCTACTTACATATACACTGCTAGAGGATTCAAGTTGAGTTAGCAATGATCTACCTCCCTTGCCCTTTTTACAATGCCAATAAGAGGTCCTTTTTAACCACAATGTTAACCAAATAGCTAAGAATTTTGAAACTTTCAACACTGTACACAGAATTCCTAGCTAACTGTATAAATAACAAATATCCTAACCATTAGAATGGCCAAAAAAAAATATGCATCACTCAACAAAGGCCATGGGTACAGAAACAACCTATTTCATAAGGATAAACCAAAGGGAATCTTTGTTCATAACCACATACTTCCACTCAGTCTAGGCCTACCATCTTGCCAGCTTCACTGTCAGCACTGAGAACTAGGTAAAAGTAAGTGGATGGATGACAAGCGTGATCTTTCATTACTATGGTGAGTCCAGTTTTCTCTTGACCATAGAATTCTCATAGATCTTCACATCATGTGCATGCCATTTTTAAGCAAGCTAAGACATAATGTTAGTCCTCTGGTTGCTGAAGTAGTATCAGCAGCCTTTAGCCACACCCGAGGTGTTTGTGTAGCCATGTTTCATCTTCCTTGAGGAAGGGTCTAGAAATGGTGACCTCAACATGATCTGAATCACATTAAATAAGCCTCCTTTACCAGATTATGAAGTCTAGAAGGCTGGACCTCCACAGTAAAGTTAAATGTTATTACCTACGGTACAGAAATATTAAGTCATGTTACTAAAAGAAAACCATAAAAAATTAAGGTTAAAGGGTTTAAATTTAGTCCTACCTCTCTCTGTCAATAGAATCCATTCTTCTTTGTCATTGTTCCATAGGACAATGGAACACAAAAGGGATAAAAAAGAATGGTATTGGTCGGTGTCCTTGAAGTGTCCAGGTATGTAATCAAAAGCATCACCCAGAGAGAAATCAGACCTCTGGATGAAAGCTCAGAGACAAGCCTTAGTTAGAGCCAAAACAAAACAGGACACAAGGCAAATGTTTCATTCTTCCTGTTTGAACTAGATTCTGAAGTGTAATCAGAAGAAAACTCTCATCAGAATGAACTCTAAGCCTCAGTGTTTTACCCTGCAGTGGATTTATGCGATGCCCCCAAAGCCACTTGTGGTGTGGGGAAAAGTTCTTGAACAGACAGTGAGAGCAGCAATAACTCCTTCTGGACGAACTTACTATAAAGATCAGATCTCTTAAATGAAAACTCGATAAAACTCCTTTTTTAAATCACAGTTAATTTGAATATTTTTTTGGGAGGGGGAGTAAAGACTAGCTCAATTCTGGTACTACCAAACGTCAATTTTCAATTACTAACAATTCCTTTTTATTTTTGTGATCCATCTTTCTGTCCCTAATTCCCCCAACCATCTTTTCATTAAAAATAGATCATGAAAATGTATAGTGAAATCCCTAAGGCCAATTTTGAAACTCCAGAATAAAACTTACAAGTAGAAGAATCAATAATTAGGACGGGGAAGGGGGTTGGGGGAGCACCCAGTGAGTCATGCATCTTTCACAGGGAAAGTGAAAATCAACGGCAAGACGTTAAAGCTATGTCAAGAAACACAATTTTCTTTTAAAACACACAGAAATAATAGTTACCATGATTTACAAATCATCAAAAATTCAATATTTTCTACGAGCTGGATGACTAACTTTTAAAAGTTCTGGAAAAAACAAAATCAAACTGTTCTGTTATTTTTAATCAGTCAGAAATGTTCTTCTATCACAGACAAATACAGTTATTTATTTCTTGCATATAGATGGGTGTTTTGGCTCCTTGTGCTTTCCATCCAAAAGGAACTGGGGAGAAATCCTTGATGGGACCTCATTTTCAGCAAGGTATATTATAAAGTAATGCCAAGTGAGCTTTCAAAATTAATCCTTGGTTCTGCTTGACTCTTTATGAAAAGTACTATAAGTTTAACGATGCTGTTGTGAAGTCACTCAAATATGGTCTGTTAAGATCTAGATTTCAACCCACAATCTATCTACATATATGCACCTTAAGTATGACAACTGTATGAAAACAGTCTCCAAAATAAAGATGGCGAGTGAGATAAAAAGCGACCCATCTTCCTCAATCTTGCATCTTAAAGGGAAGGGAGTAGGGAGTGGGAGGAGTCCCTGTTGCTTTTCCATCATCTCAAGAAGACTGGATGGCCTCATGCATAGTCTTCCACAGACTGCCTGCAGCCCAGGGCCCTTCAGACCGACCCTTCTCAGCTCTGGGAAGAAGAAGCATATCCTTGTAGACCTTCTGCTCATTTGTGGGATGTCTTCTCAAGTTCTGGGAGTTTTTTGACCAGGGCCTGATGGTTCATGTTGATGCTAGCTAGGAGTCCCCCTTCATTGCCATCGGAGCCAGTGTAACTTATCTCTTCACCGCTCAAGGTGGTCATATGACCCCCAAGAGCTTTGAGGAGGGCATTGCCAGCACAAATATCCCATTTTTTAATATATGTCACGTGGATATAGATATCAGCTTTTTCTTGGTTCTCATCAGGCACATCCAAGAGGGATAAAACTTTGTAACCTAAAGAGTAAAACATGCAGAGTTTAGGTTACTGTTTACTATAAGTGGCTTGTATTTTGAAAGTGTGTACTCGACACTCGACCTAAATAATAGGATTATTATTATATTATTAATTATTAATATCACTTTAAATACTGATAATTATGCTTAGTGATGTTTAGAGTTTAAATTATGATTAGACTCCTGTAGTTCTGATTTAAAGTTTTTTTTTTTTCCCTTGCAGTTATTTTCAACAGAATGGTATGTTCACATGGACATAAAGACTAAGTAAATTACTAAACCACTTTTTTCACTCAGAAACTTCGGAAAATTTTACTTGAAAGCTATAGTTGAAAAAAAAATTTTTTTAACTGCATCATGACCCCCCACCCCCGATTCTCCTAATTTATAATCCTTGTTTTTACCTCTACTTTTTTTTACTGAGCTTGGACCCCAAGGAGGGCTACTCATTTCAACAACCCACCCATTAACTTCCAAGAATCCACCACTCTCCTCTCTTTCTTCCTGCGTCTTGCTAATGCCCAGTGCTGGATATTTACCTTCTCTTGCTTCTGCAAGTCATGAAAGTCTCTCAGTTACAGAGGTATGCTTTGTAACCAACCTCAAGTAGTTCCTCACTGCTGATAAGTAATTCTTTTATTTATCACTAACTGATTAGCTTTCCTACACTCCATAGTGCTTATCCCAATCCTTCTCTCCCCTTAGGCCTTGTCAGAGAATCTGAACTCTGCCACATAATAGGTCTGTAACTTAAGTGCATATCACATAACTTCTGTGCCTCAGTTTCCCTATCCTCAAAAAAGAACATAACCTCACAAGATTGATGTGATGATCAAAAGAGGTTCAGTAAAGTGCTTTGTAAATATTTAGATTTAGAGCTATATGGGATACCAGTGATCCTCCAATTAAAATTCCTAGGTGGGGCAGTAGATAGAGTGTTGAGTCTAGAGTAAGGAAGACTCATCTTCCTGAGTTCAAATCTGGCCTCAGACCCTTAATTAGCTGGGTGACTCTGGACAAATCACTTAACTCTGTTTGCCTCAGTTTCTTCATCTGTAAAATGAATTGGAGAAGGAAATGGCACACTATTCCAATATCTCTAAGAAAACCCCAAATGGGGTCACAAAGAGTTGGATATGACTGAAAAACGACTGAACAACAACTGAAAATTGAAAATCTCCATCTCATTTTGTAGATGAAGAAACTGATAGAATAGGAGAAATGAAATTTTTAGCCCTATATTCTTATAGGTCGTATCAAAGCCAATCAAAATTCAGGTCCTCTGATTCCAAATTTCATTGTCTTTCCAATAAACCAAGTTGAATCATTTACCTAAGAAACTTTTCATTTTAGACTGTTAGCACTACACCAATATATTTGAAGTCTAATCTCTAAACAAGCATTACTGCACATATTTAAGAAACCAAGTCTAAAGTGGAAAAACAAGTATACCCATGATTCAAGAATTAAACCATACTTTCTTTCTATATCCTCTTCTCCATTCTCCTATCCTCACTTAAGGATATGGGAAAAAAAATTAAAAGCACAGCTAAGTCCCTATTAGTGCAAATAAAGAATTCCTAAAGTGGCCATATATATTTAAATTCACACCATTCAAAGTCATAATTATTTACAAAACGATAACTGGTTCAAACCCAAAGGAAATATGAAGTGGAAATCTGAGCAACTTTCAATCACTTCAGGGGATTCGTTATTTGCATTAATTGGGATCTTGTTGCACTGATCATTTTAAAAAGGACAGCAGAACATTCACCTTTAATACTCTCCCCACTTCCCAGATACAAGAGAAAGACTGCTGCTCTCCTGGTTCAAGATTTGACTACATCTGCAATGTTTTTGTTTCGTAAACACTACTGCATATTAATATGTTAAAAAGTAACCTTCCTTAATGGCTTCAAGTTATCATTACAGAACATTTAATCCAACCTCTTTATTTTATGAACAAAAATCATCGTTCCTTGGGTACAGTGAACTCCCCTTAAAGATATAGCAAAAATTTTAAAAAGCAGATATAAATATTCTTGAACCACCTACTATATGCAAGGTGCTATGAGGATATAGAAAAAAAAAATTTAGATGAAGTTTTTGGCCCCAAGGAGCTCCAACCTAACTGGGCAAACAAGACCCACGCATAAACTCACTTCCATATTTCAAACTGGCAAAGTATCAGATTTTGGCTCAGTGAAAGGAAAACCTTCCTAACAATTAGAAACACTTCAAAGTGACAGATGGTAGCTTACTTCTCCTCACTACAAGTCTTCAAGCCAAGGCTGGATGACCATTTCCAGGCTCCTGGAGAGGGGATTCTCCCTCATATGTGCATTGGACTAAACGACCTTTGAGGATCCTTCTGACCGAGATAAAGCCCTAAGTATGTGTAACTGAGTCAGATCGCAGATAAGGTAGGCAATAATAACATACCTGCACCACCTGCAGGTATGATTGTAGTCTGATTCCCAAACGTCTGAAGAGCCACTTGTTTAACTGTTCCTGAATGGGAGCGAGACACGATGATCCTTGGTGTCTTCTCATTGTAGGAAGTACGAGCTTTCACATTGGATCCACCATCCACCATTGCCCAAGCTATAAAGGAAATTTATCATCCATTACCAACTTTGGAAGATGTCCAGGTCTTTGAAACTAGAAGTTATTCTTTAGTGTCACAAACATCTCTAAATGATTAAAAAACCATCCCCTCCCAGAAAAGAATCCTCTGCAATGACATTTAATTAAAATAAGCAAAAACAATTGCATATGACTAATTTACAAAATTGCTATTTCTCTTTATTCTTGATTTATATTTTGCTATTGTAGCTAAACTATTCTAAAACTTCAGAATATATGTCTGAATTTCTATAATTTCAGAAAATGTTCTCTCCCACTCCCAAGGAGTGTCAAAAGGTAACTTTTAAAATGCACATGTGAAACTGTTTTCCCCTCAAAAGATAATTTGAATCATGAGTGTATACATATAAACATGTACATAGCGTATATGTATATGCATGTATGTGTGTTTATTTATGTGTGCTCATATGTTTTTTTCCCTCTGAAATACATCTAATTAGGGCAAAAGTGGCATTCCTACAGCACAATTTGTGGCTAAGCAGCACAATTCTCTACTTGGCTTTAAATATATCAACATAATCAAAGAGTTACCTGGATGAGATTGTTTTTGTTTTTCCTTTTTGGAAATAAACATAAAAACCATATAAACCTAGATCTTTGACCATGGATCTATAGAAGAAGTCTTTGTTTGAGGGCTGTAATAGAACCAATATCTACCAAGGTATCTCCCCCTCCCCATAACCACCCCAAACAAGGGTTACGCTAGTTTTCCCTAAAAGACAACAAAGCTATCCCTAATTGCCCCCTGAAATTCCTATGGCCATACTAACATGACTTGCTGGTTATGTAAGGTAATAAAAAAGACCCAAGTATTTTAATACTTGGCAGATGTCTCAATATATGACTAGCCACCACCCTGCTAACCAGACACATTTCCATAAAGAGGTAAGTGTGTGTATGGGTGGTTGTAGTGGGGAACTACCCCAATTAAATCCTAATATATCCTCATTGAATATTTCTTTCTATGCTACAATTAAGCAAACCCTCTTTTAACTGTTCAATGATCTATGAGTGACTTAGTTTGTCCCAATATCAAATATGAATTAAATGGTTGCTGGCCTAAGCCAAGCTTGCCTTCTCTATCTCTATAACAATATTAAAAAAAAAATTACAACTAGGTATATTAATTAAATTGTTCTCCAATACCCCAATCAAGTGACAATTATGGCTATGGAACGAAGAAATCCATTTTCCATGTTATTCCTGGATGAAAAGGTGGAGATTGTGCAACAAATTCCCAAACTTAGAGACATTAAAAGAATTAAATAGAAACATATTCAAAACATGAAACAATTTAAAACAAAAACCTAACAGTAAACATTTGCTCCTACAGTTACTATATCTTGGGGGGGAGGAGGGGGGAAGAACAGTAATAACAATAAAAACAAAACAAAAACCCCCCAGATCCCTTTAGAAAAGAAAAAAAAAAGCACATATGCACTTCAGTTAGAGCATGTTTTATTTACTAAGAAAAGAATTTGCAATACAGTTTCTCTAGAGGTCAGTATTGTGTAAGGGAAAGAAAATCTTTATCTATTTTAGTACTAAATATTCCATATCAGAGAATTTCAAATCAAAAATCTGTTACCTTTATTTTGTGAAAATTGCATGTTTAAATAAATATATGTACAAATATGTTTTTTTAATCAGTTATAAGTTTCACGAGCAGAATTGTTCAAAATTTTAAAAGGTACAATGTGACCACCACCCAATGACAACTTAATAAAAATTAATGGTGATATAATGGTGATGATGAAAACAGCAGCTACAAAACATACTTTTAGCTTTATAGGTTATAACCCTAACCCTAATAGTTCTTGCTAGGAGTGCAAAAAAGCCATTTCGTTATGGACATTGGAATTTCAACACTATCTACCGGGCATGGTATTTGGTATTACATGGAATTGCCTTGCAATTTTTTGTCTTTTTAAGTATCTATACTTGTCCATGCAAGGGTTTATATATTCTTACGCTAAGTACTAAATTTTCAGACTCTTATTACAGTGCTACAATCTATTTGGTTTGGTTACCACGTTAACTAAGCTACAGAGACAAGATCTAGAGGGTGGCAAAAATGGGCCAGAAAACGGAACTCAGAAGCAAAAGTTAAAGCACTCAGCACTGACTGGTGGGGAGAGAATTCTAAAGGGAGTTTTTTTTTTTTACATATATTAAGGCTTTGTGAGAGAAATACTGAGCAGTTCAAACTTTGTGATACAGCACATAGTGCCCAATAATGATGATGGTATTAATAACAGCTATACTTTATGCAGTGCTTTAAGATTTTCAAAGCATCTAGATTAACTGATAGACCATTCCATATGTGCCCCACATTCCCTCTGCTTCTTATTTACAATATGTTCTCGGCAAGTCCTTTTTTCAGAGAGGTTATAAAAGTAGAACTGGTTCAAATGACCACGAATTTCTTATTGGTGGAGTCTTAACTCACTGAGATTTTACTGTAATATACAGTTATCTTAAAAGGTAAAGTATGGCTACCAATGCTTCATGAATTAATGAGTTAATAGATATTGATGGAACCTGAACCAGAGGGAGAGGGCTTCAGTTAAAGTAGGATGGATTTCTACTTTGTACTTTCTTTGTTTGGTTTAAGAGGAACACTACTTCTCAGCCCAGTTAAATGCTGAAATGGGAATATTTTATAGTTCATGCCCTTGGAGATACTTAAAAAGAGAAAAGATAGTTCCCTGATGAAGAGAGTTTAGATGAAGAGAATTTAGATATTTTTTTGGGTAAGGCACCCAGGTCCAATAGACTCACAGGGTCCCTTGACCTCATGAGGGGAGTATAAAGAACTATGATTTCATTCGGGTTTGAAAAAAATCCTCTCTCTTCCCACCCAAACAACCTTCATGCACAGCAGCTGTCTATAACTTACTGCCTGGGAGAGAGGTCTATGGGACACTGATAGATTATATAACTTGCCCACATCTACAGGGCTGGCACATATAAGAAGGACACAAATGCACTGGAGAAATAAACAAGAAGGCTGAAATAAACTAACCACAAGTCCCATGGTAACTGATTTTATCCATCAGGAAAAGGACTAGCTTCTAATCTTTGCACATCACTCCACTGTTTGTGATATTTAGCTTGTGATCACCTGGGACCTGGCAAGGTCTTTTCTTCTGAATATTTATTTATAGTCATCTTTTATTTGTACTGCTGTTTATTCATGTGTGATGGAAATGTATTCAGTGCATATTTAATATATTCTTTTTTAAATGTTGTTAAGTATATCATCACTTGTGTCTCATTACACTTTATTTTGTAAAATTATTTAAAAAAAAATTTTCAGGATCATTCTGAATTTTTATTATCCTGCATTCCATAGTCTTAAAAAACCCACTTAATTTAGGATTTGAACTAGAAGAGCTCAAAGGTCCCTTTCAACTCTAAATCTATGTTCCTGTAATCAAGAATATCACACATGGGACACCCAATCAAGGACTAACTAAAATCAAGACATGGTAAATGCTTTACTTCCCTCTCATATGTGTGTTTTATCACTATCACAGAGGCAGATTAAATCAGTCCAGCATGATTTATAAGCAATAATAACTAGCATTTACATAGCACTTTGAAGGTCTGCAAAAGCGTTTTACAAATATCATCTCATTTGATCCTCAAAACAAACCTGGGAGATAGAAGCTATTATGATACCCATTTTATAGATGAGGAAACTGAGGCAAGATGTTATCATTACCCCCCTCAATTTACAGATGAGGAAACTGAGGCAGCAGAGGTTAAGTGCTTTCCTTGCTCATGGTCATATAGCTAGTAAATTATCTGAAGCCACATCTGAACTCAGATCTTCCCAATTCCAGGAATGGGGCTCTATCCACTACACTGCACTGGCTAGGTGCTATGCAACCACCATAAAAGTTTGATGCCTCTGACTGGAGAAATCTACAGACCAAGGATCTGGAATACCCAAGACTCTTTCAGGAGGTCTATAAAGTCAAAACTATTTTCACAGTAATACTAAGATATTTTAATTTCTAGTAATGGTATATTGATAGATATAATCCACATGAACAAAAGCTTTTTGCAAGGGATGGGGTCTTCAATAATTTTTAAGAGTGTGAAGGGGTCCTGAGACCAAAAGGTCTGACAACTGCTTATCTAAATTATAGTACAGTTAGGCATCTAGAGAAGTGGACAATGGCCAACCCCAAAGGGGGATTACAGAAGTATCCATGTCAATTTGGAATGAGGTCCCCAGTGGAATATGTACTTGACCCTCTCCTGTTAAACATGTTTATCAATGACCTGAATGAAGGCAAAGATGGCATACTTGTCAAATATAAGGATAATGCAAAAGTGGGAGGGACAGCTAATATGGAAGAACAGGATTAGGATCTGAAAAAATTCCCAATCATAAATATCTCAGAATAATAAGGAACCTCAAAGGCCATTCTGATTCTTCATGGCTTTTGTCCCAACCTGTGCTTTCATTTTTTATTATTACTATTATTATTGTAAAAGGAACTTCTGTGAGCAAACTCTCCCTAGAGCAAAATATATCAGGAACTTATTTAAGGCAACTTGTGTCCTTCAGGATTGCCTGAGGCACCGAGAGATTAAATGACTAGCTCAGGGTCAGGCACAGAGCCAATACTTGTCCAGGGCGGTAGGGAAGATCTCCTCTCCATTATTAGCAACAAGTGTTCAGTTTGCCCCTGCTGGAAAACAGACAGTGCAGTGAAATGTTTCCTCCTTAGCAATCTCATTCCAGCTCTAATTGATAGCATGACTTTGCTTATATAGAACCTCCATTGGCCTTGTGACAACTTCTACCCATTGTTCTCAATTCATTTGGCCCTTTCATCTCTCCCATGTGACAGCCCTTCTTATATTTTAAGACAGCTATCATGTTCCCCTTAAGTGTTTTCTTCAGACTAAACAATCCAAGCAATTCCTCAACCAATTCATTC